ATCCTGCTGGGATCGCAGAGGGGCGCTGCAGAGATCTGGTTTCCCCGGCTGTGTTTGGGCGGCACGTTCAGGAGAACAGGGACCTGCCTGGTTCGTGTTCCCAGTCCTTTCCCTCCAGCAGCCGGCAAGGCCCAGTCAACACAAGCAAACTCGGAAATCCCGGCTGAACCCACGACCGCTTCATGAGGAATCGGCGTGCCCTTTCTTTAGGAGCTCGATTATTCTGAATTATTTCCATTTTAGAAAAACACAGCAACAACTCAAACCAAATCGTTTAGATAGGAGAATAAAGCAGCACCGACAAAGGAGGCGACTGCCGGAGCCGCTCGGGGGAGGAGCCGGGTGAGAGGCTGCAGGGAGAGCAGGGCGCGCGCCGGCGACCACAGGGTCTGGGGTTTGAGGGGCGAGGCCCGGGAGAAGGGACTCTGGGGTTGCAGCGCCGCGGCTGGGGGCGTGGGGATGGAGCCGGGGGAAGGGGAGCTCTGAGATGTGAAGGGGCGGGGCTGGGGTGTTTGGTCTGGAAAGAGGGAGTCTCACGGAAGGAAGGGACGAAGATTTCCTGGGGTTCCCGGCGCCAAAGGGCTTCGGGGCCGGTTGGCGCGGAGGGAGCCCGGGGCCCGGGGGGCGTGGTGAGAGCTCAGAGGGGTCGGGCCGAGCAGTCGGCTGGCGCTACAGAGACCGAGGAGGGATCTGGGGCGGAAGGGCTGCGAGAGGGCACCCAGGGCGCCGGGGGCGCGATACCTGCAAGGCGGCGTAGTCCTCTAAACCGGTCCCGCCAGACCCGAGCGGCCACCGCCCCCGTCTCCGCAGCCTCAGCTGCCGCCTGGCCTCGCCCCCACGTGACCCGCGCACGCGCCGAGGGCGGAGCCGTCGCAGGACCCGTCCCCGGCGTCCCCGGCGCGCAGTCCCGTCCCGAGTGCGCGTGCGCGGGGGTTGCCTTGGCGACCGGGAAAACGTTGACCTGCAACAGCTGGGGCGCCAGAGGCTGGCGAGGAAGGAAAGCTGGGAGTCTCCGGCTGTGCCGCGGACTGTTGCAACGTCCGCCGCAGAACTGGGTTCCCCACAGCTGCGGGGCGTTCGGTGGCGCAGAAGTGAACATGCACCCTGAGCCCTCGGAGCCTGTGGCGGATGGGGCAGGAAAGCTGGACTGCACGCAGGAGCGCGGCGTGGAGGAGTCTGCGGGTGACCACGGGAGCGCAGGCCTAGGGGGCTGCTGCAAGGAAGGTGCCGACCGCCCCCCAGGGAGGGCGGGGGGAGAGGGACCGACCCGGCTGGGCGCTCCAGCCTCTTTCCCACACCATATACCCGATCTTCAGAGCCAAATAATAACAGTGATAAAGGTACCAAACAACGCTCTGCAGTAGGGGCTTCTCTCCCCACTTGGTACAGAGAAGGAAACAGATACTTCAGAGGTTATAAAACTTGCTCCAAACAGATAATCCTCGGCTAGTCAGTGACAGAACAGACTCGGCTACACGCGAGTCTGTCACCACGTAAGATCAAAGGCTTTCTCCCCCTCCAGACGGCATGTTGTGTCAGCGCAACACATTCTGATTGAATTTGGAGTCTAGTCCAGTGCCTGACCTAAGGTAGAGTGTCTGAATGAAGACTTTGTGGCTCTGGGGTCACTCTGTGACCCCCTCACCATAGTTTGACAGAATGGACTTGAAAGATCAGCTTCATGGCCAGGCGCGGTTGCTTACGCCTGTAGTCCCAGCACTTTGGGAGGCCGAAGCAGGCGGATCACCTGAGGTCAGGAGTTTGAGACCAGCCTGGCCAACAAGGTGAAACTCAATCTCTACTAAAAATACAAAAATTAGCCGGGAATGGTGGTGCACGTCTGTAATCCTAGCTACTTGGGAGGCTAAGGCAGGAGAATCACTTGAACCTGGGAGGCGGAGATTGAAGGGAGGCAGAGGTTGCAGTGAGCGAAGACTGCACCAAGGCACTACTCCAGCCTGGGGCCTGGCAACAGAGCAAGACTCTGTCTCCAAAAAAAAAAAAAAAAAAAGGAATTAAAATTATCCGCCATCCCACTCCTAGGCAGATACCAAGATAATTAGAAACTTTCGCTCACATAAAAATTTCTACATGCATGTTCCCAGCAGCCTACTCACAATTACCAAAAGGCATAAACAAACAAAATGTCCATCAATGAATGAATACGCAAAATGTGGTGTTATCCATACAAAGGAATATTATTCAGCCATTAAAAAAGCATGAAGTACCAACACAGAGTACAACATGGATAAACCTTGAAAACATTGTGCTAAGGGACAGAAAGCAAACACAAAAGGCCATATATTTCATGTTTCCACTTGTATGAAATGTCCAGAGTAGGCAAATCCATACAGACTGAAGATAGGGCTGCTGGGGGAGAGGAGAAAGGGGAAAAGGGGTATGACTGCTAATGGGGTTGGGGTTTCTTTTGCAGGTGATGAAATGTTCTGGAATTAGTTACTGGTGATGGTTGCACAGATTGTGAATATAGTAAGAACTACTGAGTTACGGGGCGTGGTGGTGCACATCTGTAATCCCAGCACTTTGACAGGCCAAGGTGGGTGGATCACCTGAAGTTAGGAGCTGGAGACAAGCCTAGTAAACATGTTGAAACCCTGTCCCTACTAAAAATACAAAAATTAGCCACGTGTTGGTGGTGCACATCCGTAATCCCAGCTACTCAGGCGTCTGAGGCAGGAGAATTACTTGAAACTGGGAGGTGGAGGTTGCAATGAGCCAAGATCTCAACACTGCACACCAGCCTGGCCAAGAGTGACATTTCACCTCAAAAAAAA